AGGTTGCCGTACTGGATGTTGTACAGAATCGTCTCGTTGAAGAGGACCGTGTCCTGGGGCACGATCCCAATCGCCTTGCGCAGCGACAGCTGCGTCACGGCCGAGACGTCTTGGTTGTGCACGAGCACGCGCCCACTCGTCGTGTCGTAAAAGCGGAAGAGCAGTCGCGAAATGGTCGTTTTGCCCGAGCCTGTCTCGCCCACAAGCGCCGTCGTCGTCCCTATGCATATATCAATGAGTCTCTTCCGTGCATTTCAGTCGATAGTCTAGACCGGCGGGAATGACAAAGTTGAGGTCCTTGAGACCGCTGCCGAGCGGCGCGTCCGGGTAGTCGAAATGCACATGCTGAAACTCGACCGAGATGCCGTTGCGGTGCGCGTCATAATCGAGCAGGAGCTTGGGCGCGTGCGGCGCGTCGACAATGTCCGGGTCGACGTTAAGGAGCTCGCTGAGCTTTTGCATGTCGACAATGGCCTACAAAAAAACCCTTGAAAAATACGAGCCGAGGATCGAAGCCCGTACGTTGATCATCATGTTGTAGAGGGACCCGAGAAAGTAAAGCGGCGAAAAGAGGTTCTGGAGGTACACTGTGATGGCGACGAACGCACCGAGGTCGACGCCGCGGCCGTCCTGCTCGATCACATGCGGGATTGCGAGCGCGAGGCAGGCAAGAATCGTGGCTTGGATGATGCCCGTTTGGCTAATGTTGAGCACGGACAACGACGCTTGGACGCTGACGCTGAAACTTTGATACTTTTGGATCGCGCCCGAGTAGAGGTCGATCTCGTGCTTCTCGTTGGTAAAGTACTTGATGGTCTCGTAGTTGATGAGCGCGTCGGTGGCTACGCGAAAGGGCGTGTTTTTAGCCGCCACGTCTTGATCGATTGAGTCGAAGTACCCTTGTCGTGGTACTCGTTGTCGTGCTTGGTCGACTGCTGCCGAAACTTCTTGCGCCACAGCGTGATGGCGATCGTCACGTAGGCGTAAAACACCAAACTCAAAAACGAGACGTACGACATGGTCGCGAGCTGGAAGTGTGTCGCAAAGATGATCATGACCACGACGCTAGTTCAAGCATGTCATATGTACAAGTTGTCCTATATAGAAAAGACACACCTCTCGAGGATCGTTGGCAAGAGGTAGAGGAACATATACGAGACGACGCTGTTGGCCGACTCGACGCCGCGGTCCATCGAGCGCAGCACGTCGCCCAGTTTCTAGTTGAATCATGAGTGTCCAAAACTATCAAGTTGATATTTTTCACCTTTTTCAGATGCCAGTCGAGCGAGAGCGAGTGCAAGTGTTCGTACGTCATGGTGGAAATCTCCACGTAAGCGGTCTGCTTGACGCGGAGGTACACGATCGACTTGACCTCGTCGAGCGTCTTGGAGAAGAAGACGCTGGTGCAGTAGCACGAGACGCCGATGAGCGCGCCGCGCACGTCTTTCGCGACGAGAGCGTTTGTTGCTTGGGCCATAAACATGGGCGCGTACAAGTTGAGGAGCTTCGAGCCGCCGAGGAGGAAGTACGTGCTCACAGCGCGGACGCGGTGGCCAAAGCCGTGCGGCCAAAAGTACGGGCGCAGCACGAGCAGCATCTTGACGAACGAGATACCTTTCGTCGGCGTCGCATCTGCAGGCGACGACGAGCTCTCGAGGTCGACGACGACGGCCGCGGCCTCGCGCGCCTGGCGCACCTTCTTCGCGTGCACTTGGTACAGAAGCACGCCTTCAAAGACGGAAAACATGAGCGGGAGGATGATAAAGATGTTGGCGCGATCCAAGCCGTTGGCGAGAAGCGTCGCCTGCGGCAGCGCGTCGAGCGCAAAGGCGTCCGTGCCCAGGACAACGACGAGCCCGAGGACCGCGATCTCGGCGAGGTAGACAAACCATTTGGAGAAGAGCCCAAGCAGGATGAGCAGCACCTTGACGGCCGTCGCTAGAATGGGCAGCTGTTCGTAGCGCCATGCGGGCGCGCCCGTCGCCGCAAAGGCGGTGAGCGTCAACGACGACATTTGCGAGAGGAGCACGAGCACATCGAGCACCATGACGACGAGGAGGAAGTTGGCCATCCAGCCGAGGCGCGTCTTGGTCGAGGACATCGGGCCTTGCTTGCGCCAGATGGAGCGGTGGGCGATCTTGCGCGCGGCCGGCGACGGCAGCAGCGGCGCCTTCTCGTTGCTCATGACGACGGTGCGAATTCCGATTTGCGGATCGCAGCAAAGTTCGAAGTCGAAGCGCACACAAGCGAAGTTCGAATTTAGAACACCCAATCCGAAGACGACGTTGCGATCCGAATTCGGGAAGGGCAATTCGCACCTGCCCGGCTTTGCTACTCACAACAACGACAACACGCCGTCGTACAGTGTACCTGGGTCATTGCATGTGACGTGCGCTGCAGCGAAGTCGCAGGCCATCGCGTGGTGGAGCTAGTACGACCAAGGCCCTCGTTTGTTCCTTTTGTATTGCGTCATTTATGCATCGGCATGACCAGCTATTCATGAGGCGTCGCCTTGGCTTGACACGTCACTGGGTACGAGCCTTGCAAGCTAATACGAGACAGTTGAAGCACGCGTGGCAATCGTGGTGCAATACGGGCCATGAAGCAGCCACCGTAGCGACCGTACAACGAGATATTCGGCCGTGGAGCGCTGGGCAGCAAGTATTAGCAAGTGCCTTCGGACTTTCGGGCTAGCGTCGCGGCCTTAATGGCCAGTGACTCGGGCGTACAACTAGGCCCTTCCTCGTCCAAGCTCGCAACGATGTCGAGTCACTTGCCGTCAAGACCGCGAATGGTCCCACGGATTGGTGGCCGAGACGTTGAAGCTTGGAATGGGACGGGAAAAGCAGACAGGCCCTTCGATACGTCCGACGACAACGTTATCAGCTCCAGGAATACTACACGTGGTTTAGAGGGTGTGTCTACTTGTTAGTTAGTTAATCATCATCGTTAATCGTGCGTGACGGCAATCTCCTTTTTGGATTTGAGGAGCGCCAGCGCCGCCTTCTTCTTTTCTTGGCGCAGCTTGCGGTGGTCGGACGCCAGCAGCCGCGGCTTCCCGTCCGTCGTCTTCTTGGCCTTCTTGGCCGCCGGCTTTTCGTCGTCCGAGCTATCGAACGCCGCGCCCATGTCGATATGGGCCGTCACCGGCACCTTGG